TCGCGGTGGCCGGCGTGGTGCGGGTTTTGATCGACCACGGCGTCGACTTCCCATTCCTGTACAAGGAGTATCCGATTCCGAAGAAGATTTCGAAGAACCTCCAGAAAGAGGCGGAAGCGAAACTGAGGAGGAGATAAATTTTGATCAGACGGGAGATTACTTTCGTCGCAGACGACGTCCTGCACACCATCAACACCAAGCAGAATTTAAAGTCAAGGTAGACATCCCATTTTTTGATGGCCATTTACACATCGAGGATTACTTAGATTGGGAGAAAGCCGTTGAGAATTTTTTTGACTACATGGAGATTGAGCCGACCAAACAGGTCAAATATGTCGCCTGTAGATTGAGGAGTGGAGCGAGTGCTTGGTGGACTCAATTACTGCAAATGCGGCAAAGGGAGGGAAAAGGCCCAGTCCGTGGCTGGGTGCGGATGCGGCAACTCCTTCGAGCGCAATTCCTACCGACCGATTTTGAACAAATCCTCTACATAAAGTATCAACAGTGTGTGCAAGGCAATCGGTCAGTAAGTGAGTACACGGAAGAGTTTCATCGATTAAGTGCTCTAAACAATCTCAATGAGTCCATGAATCAGCTGGTCGCCAGATATATCGGGGGACTTAAATATAGTATTCAAGACCGGCTAGAATTAAATGCGGTTTGGTCACTGTCGCAAGCCATCAATTTCGCCTTAAGGGAAGAAATACAACTCAGTCGCTCATCCAGATCAACGTTCACTCGAAGACCAACTCCTGATTCAGTGGCCGAAGCTTCAAGGGGGCGCTCCCTTCAATTCCAAAATGTAGGCAGTGGCTCACTGTTGCCGACGCCTTTACAATCCAAGCAGCCAGCCCCTGTTACGTCAAATGCGGATGCCAAGACACAGCCCAAAACAAAAGCTCCTCAGCAGAATAATCCATATGCGAAGCCTGGCACTTTGAAGTGTTTCCGTTGTTTTCAGCCGGGCCATAAGTCGAATGAGTGTCCACAGTGACAATAACTACAACTGTTGGAAAATGTAGAGGGGGGAAATTCGCTAGAGCCTGATGAGCAGGGAGATCGGGATGTAGACGAACTGGAGGGTGATGAAGGTGAACCAGTAATCTGTGTTATAGAAAAATTGCTAATCGCTCCTAGGCATCATAACACTTCGCAACGCCACGCAATTTTTAAAACACGATGTACCATAGCCGGAAAAGTGTGTGATCTGCTTGTGGACAGCGGGTGTACCGAAAACATGATTTCCCGGTCAGTAGTCCAAGCATTGCAGCTGAAAACAACAAAGAATCCCCAACCGTATAAAATCAGTTGGGTCAAGAAAGGAATTGATATTCCTGTTTCTGAGATGTGCCAAGTCACTTTTTCTATAGGCCGCTTATACGTATGCGATGTCCTCTGCGACGTTCTGGACATGGATGTTTGCCACCTGATCTTAGGCAGACCGTGGCAGTTTGATTCGGGCGCCATTTACGACGGCCGGGCCAATTCTTACTCACTTGAGTGGAAGGGTAGACGACTCAAGTTGCTTCCAGGTGTCCGTGAAAACAAACCTCCCGCTGCTGCTGGCCAATCCCCTTCTGCGGTAATGCATTTAGTCTCAGGATCTAATCTACTACTTACTTGGAAAGAAGCAGATCCGTTATGGGCAGTGGTTATCACCGAGCCGTTCATTCCAAACTCCTTGGAACTTCCTGGGGAGGTACAACAATTATTACGGGAGTTTCAGGATATCTGCCCTAGTGAGCTACCGGACACTCTTCCGCCCCTTCGCAATATTCAACACCAAATAGACCTTGTACCTGGAGCGGTCTTACCAAATCTTCCCCATTATAGATTAAATCCCAAGGAGCAGCAAGCATTGCAGACCATTATTGAAGACCTTCTGAAGAAGCAGCTCATCCAGTCCAGTATCAGTCCATGTGCCGTTCCGCATTGTTGGTGCCCAAGAAAAATGGTGAATGGCGTTTATGCGTTGATAGTAGAGTCATAAACAAGATCATTGTAAAGTACAGATTTCCAGTACCTCGGATCGACGAGTTGTTGGATGAATTGGAAGGCGCTAGTATTTTCTCAAAGCTGGACTTACGTAGTGGATATCATCAGATCCAAATTCGTCCCGGCGACGAATGGAAGACAGCTTTTAAGACAGGATCCGGTTTGTATGAATGACGAGTCATGCCGTTCGGCCTGTGCAACGCTCCCTCCACGTTTATGAGAATGATGCAAGACATTCTCAAGCCGGTTTGGGGAAAGTTCTGTATTGCTTACTTTGACGACATCCTAGTTTACAGTGATACATTGCTGCAGCATGTTGATCACCTCAAACAGCTCTTCGTTATCTTACAGGAAAATCGGTTGTTTCTCAACTTACCGAAATGTGAGTTCGCTACCTCGCAGGCACACTTTCTGGGCTTCGTGGTGTCAAAAATTGGAGTCCAAATGAACCTCGATAAGGTCGCGGCAATACAAAATTGGCCAACTCCCCAGTCTTTTTTTGAGGTGCGTAGCTTTCATGGTTTAGCGAATTTTTATCGCAAATTTATAAAGGGCTTTAGTGTGATAATGAGTCCTATCACGGATTGTCTTAAATCCAAAAACTTTGTCTGGGGAGAACAACAACAACACAGTTTCGCTGCCATTAAGGAGGCGCTCACGTTTGCTCCGGTTCTAAGGCTACCTAGCTTCGACAAGCTTTTTATGGTGGAAACTGATGCTTCTTCTATCGGTATTGGAGCCGTTCTATCACAGGAGGGTAGACCCATGGCTTACCTCAGTGAAAAACTTTGCCCTTCTCGACAACGCTGGTCGGCCTATGAACAAGAATTGTATGCACTTGTTCGCGCTTTGAAGCAGTGGGAATACTACCTCCTACACCAGGAATTCATTTTGTGCACTGACAACAAGGCCCTTCAATTTATAAACAGTCAAAAGCATGTAAATAGGATGCATGCTCGTTGGGTGGCTTTTCTTCAAAGGTTTTCATTTGTTCTGAAACATCAAGCCGGACAAGACAACAAGGTCGCAGATGCTCTTAGTTGAAAGGTCTTACTCGTCAACCAGCTTCAGACGGAGTTTTCGGGCTTGGCTTGCCTCAAAGAACTCTATCCAACTGACCGAGACTTCTCTGACATTTGGGCCAAATGCCAACAAAAGGAAATTGTTCCCTGCTACTCAATTAAGCATGGTTTTCTTTTTTATAATGGCCTGCTATGTGTTCCGTTATCATCCTGGAGACAACACTTCATCCGTGAAGTGCACTGTGGCGCCCTGGCTGCTCACTTGGGGAAGGATAAATCCTTAGCGCAGATGAAATGCCGATTCTTCTGGCCACGCCTCCGACGGGATGTATTCCGTTTTGTCGAACGCTGTGCCGTGTGTCAAAGCTACAAGGGGGGTGCCCAAAATACAGGCCTCTATACTCCTCTACCGGTACTAGATTCAATTTGGGAAGACCTTAGTCTCGATTTTGTTCTCGGATTACCCCGCACATCAAAGGGGAATGATTCTATCATGGTGGTGGTCGACCGCTTTTCGAAGATGGCTCACTTCATCGCCTGTAAGAAAACTTCCAACACCCTTCATGTAGCACATCTCTTTTTTCACCAGGTTGTACGATTACATGGCATTCCCCAAAGTCTAACATCCGATCGGGATGTCAAGTTCATAAGCCACTTTTGGCGGGAACTTTGGGAGAGATTGGGTACCGATTTGCGCCTTAGCTCGGCTTACCATCCTCAGTCGGACGGACAAACCGAAGTAGTGAACCGTACTTTGGGAAGCATGCTCCGTTGTTTGGTACAAGACCACCCAAGACAGTGGGAAGAAGTACTTAGTATTGCTGAATTTGCTTTCAACTCTTCAGTGAATCGCTCTACCGGTAAGCCACCATTCCACATAGTCTATACCAAACCTCCTAACCTTGTTGTGGATGTAGCTGTGTTACCGAAGTTCAAGTCCGGATCCGCAGCCAACTTCTCCAATCAGTACACCACTATGCTCACTGACGTTCATATACAACTTGAGAAAGCCAATTCCAAATACAAAGAGGCTGCTGATCTCCATCGAAGACAGACATTGTTCAATGTAGGCGACCTTGTTATGGTTCGCATGCGCCGTGAGCTTTTTCCACCGGGCACATACAACAAACTCAGCCGTCGTAAAATTGGTCCTGTTCCTATCATTGCAAAAATCAATGATAATGCATATACGGTTGAGCTACCAGCCGGCCATAACACGGCCCCCAACTTTCAACGTCTCCGATATATGGCCGTATCATCCACCGGATTCCTCACCGATCACAATCAGCTCGTCGGAGTCGAGCACTTCGTCGTCCGGGGAGGACTGATGCAGTGCTTAGCATGGACCGCCGGCACAATGGAACGTCTCAGCAAGCCTCACGTTCCCTAGTACCAATTCTGTTATTATAGTACAATACTACTTTTTAGTTGCTCTGCTCTAATTAGTAATTTCCTTTTAGTAATATTAGAAATTACAAATGGTAGCCAATACATATAGGAGAAATTACTGTAATCAAGCAGCTTTTGATAATTCCCCAAGAAGAACTTCGTTCTGCCTATATCGTCTTCTTCTCCTAACGAGAGGTGAGCCTCTCTTTTCTCTGTTTCAGGTTCTGTTTTCCTGTGTCTGGAATTTCTTGCAGGTCTTGGAAAATCATGAAATCTCTTGATAAAATCTTTCATAAGAAGTCCAATATAAAAATAAAAACCTAGGTAGGTGAACTCAATTGCATCGAGCGAGCAATTAAACAACGCTTTCATAAAAAAATAAATTTAGTATAGTTCAACGTAGAATTTTCAGAGCATCATAGACATCTTATGGCAGAAAGTGTCAGAGTAGCAGAACAAGGGTTTTCATGCATTTCTGGAAACAGACTCGGTTCTATTATCTAATTAATAAGCAAAAAAGATAAATTAAATTTATATAAAAACGCTGGCAAGTTGCCAAGAATGAAAATGAAACTTTAAATCTATTAATCTTACTTGTGCAAACAGTACTTGTACTCGTGGTTACGGCTGTGATCTTTCTCCCCTTCCTCTAGCTGCATACAATAAATAAATAAACGAAAAAACCACACAAACCAACAAATATATTACAAACCAAAATAATACACAGCTCTAAATAAAATCATACAGGATCGCTCTCGTAGATCAGTTGATAGCACGCCGAAGAAAGGCATCTCAGAGCACAGTTTTCCTTCTCAGTAATGGAAGATCTGCATTTCCAACCCCACAATCCACTTTCCAAAACCCAAAATAAATAACATCGAATCAGCCACGAACAATTCACCAAATCAAATTGATTCCGCAAAATACGAAGACAGGGTATCGAGCGGTTACCTTTCGATGTCCGCATAGCAGGCGTTCTTCTTCTCCCTGATCTCAGCCTCCTGCGTTAGGTGGATAAAGGACGTCAAAGCACAGAATGGAAGAATCAATACCTATGATGAGAGGAGAGGAGAGGTGGGAGAGCTCACGGAAATCGGATGACGAGTTGCAGAGAGAGCCGAGGGAGTGCAAGAGGAGATCAATAACAGTACTAAGGAACAGTTGAACAAGAAACAGAGAGGAGTTGGAAGGAGGTGAAAACACTTCTCCATCGATTTCGATTTCAGCGGCTGAGATTTCTTCGCCGCTGTACTAAATTGGTTCCCAGGAAATGGGGAGCTGGGTATATAAATGAGTGTGATTTGCGTTTTAATAATTAATTTTTTATTTAAAAAATAAAAAATTACTAGGGCTAATTAAAGATTTGATCTATAACTAATTTGATTCGGCTTTTGATAAGCTCGAATTGTTTTATTTAAAAGAACTTGATTTTAACATAAAATTTTATCATATTTCTATGCTCAATACTCAAAAGGACTCCTATTGATACTAAATATACTTAGGGATGTGAGGACTAATAATTAATCCTAATATATGTGAATGAACCGCATTTAAGTTTATATTAATTAAATTAATGCTCATCCATGTGAATGAACCACATATTTAGTTAAAATTAGGATAACTTATATTTATCCAACGCAACACTCAAATATATGTTGTCAAATTCATCATGGACTTTCGTCACATTAAAAAGAAAAATGCGGGACAAATAAGAGCACAGACTATGATAAATATATCATCAAACTAGCATAACACATCACTATAAATATCTTGTGTTATGTTAATAACACTTATTTCATCCAATTTGATCACTCACACAACTTCAAACATGCTCGAATATCTTATAGACCAAAATTAGACCCTTACAATATAATATTGATGCCTTGACCTAGCCCACTACCTCAAACACCTTGACCTATTGGACTTATAAATAGCATTATTGATTGCTCATAGGTAAATCACCACTTTGGGTTGTCATATGCATTTAAAGCTAAATGTAACCTTAAGGTGGATACAAGTTCTAAGTGATTGATAGTCAGCTTGATGATTGCATTTACATGTCTTCATGTGTTAAGCCCAACTTTGGATCACTAAGAACTCATCTTAAATGAAATTGTTTTGAACTCAATTAATGTTGCATTAATTTTACATGTATTTGACTCATACTCAAATGACTTCACAAGGTTTACATGACTCTAGCTAATTTCATTATGATTCCTCATGTTGCAAATCTGATCCAAATGCTATGATTTTGATTATAGCAAATATTATTGTGTATGTTATTGTTTTCTCCTGATTCTGTGATATTTTGTTTTGTTTTATGTGTACTAACATTTCAGGAAATCAGATCACCGTTCACTTGCAATTTTGATCAGCTCAACACTTGGTAAACTAGGGTTACAGTCTGCATTTTCAATTTGTTATGTATTTTTTTCTTTCTTTTAGTCGTATCATGTAATTGGGTGGATATCATTATTGAGTAATATTGCACACACATAGGGGGAGAGAGAAAATCATTTTTGAGAGAAATTTTTTAAGTAAATCGTATTGTACAATTGTTACTTCGTACTATACGACTTTGTTTTGTAATATACGAACTATTGTGCTCCGTCAAAATCCTATCTGCCAGAGGTTAAGGAATATACTAATTATGTGATGATCGTATGATATGATTTGGTTCGTATTGTACACCTAATTAAAATATTTCTTAATTAACTCCTCGATATCAGGCAATCAAATCATGGACAATTATTATCGCTGATCATACTGTATGATACAGTTTGTACAATATGATTGATAGTGTACGAAATTGATCATCCTAGATATCGTACCAAATGAAATCCATGATTTTTGTACTAATCGTACTATACAATGTCCATAGTGCTGGACGATCGACAGTGTATGAAGTTGACCGTCCCAAGAGTCATCTCAAACGAATAGAAGGAATTTCTAGAGTTTGTAGCGAATGATATATTGATTGTACTATACGAAGTGTTATAAAGGTTGAACAATTCATTTGCAAGAAATTGTTGGACGGGGCTAAATTACACTGATTGTATGGTATGATACGTGTATCATACCGTACGAACATAAGATGAAATTCTTGAAAATTAGGGTTTTTTGAAGCCCACTACTTAAAGATTTTCTAATACTCTTATTAAAAAATATTTGATTGTTTAGACTTCAAGAGAGAGAGCCTTAAGGGAGAGAAGAATGGGATTTGTGAGAGAAGAGAGGGAGATTTTATGAGGGGATTCATAAGGTTGTTCCAAGTAAGAATCTTGCTTAGTATCTACAAGCGTCTGTCTGGATTCTCTGTGACTCTGGAGAAGAAGTTCTTTAAGAAAGATCGTGGTTCTCTGACCATCACCTAGAGGGAGAACATAGAGTTATGATTCTCTCACCATCACCTGGAGGGTGAAAATAGAGTTGTGATTTTTTTTACCATCACTTGGAGGGTGAAAATAATGTTGAGGTTCTTTGCCTGTAAAAGTGTCATGATTATCTGCCGCACCGGGTTGGTGAAACAACATCTGTACGAGCTTCTCCACCTTGTTGTGAGAGTAAAACGAGAGTCACTATTATTTAGTGCAAATACTTAGAGAGAGAATCTCTAAGGAGTGGACGTATGTCAAGTTAACGGAACCACTATAAATTCTGGTATGTTCATTCTGATTATTTTTTGCACTTTATTTTTCTACAATTATATGTGTGGTTAAAAAATCTGATTTATTTCGTTGTTATGGAATTTGCTTATTTTGCATTCGATGTGTCGGTTCTCGTGTGTGGGTGTGAAAGGTTTTTAAGGAATTTTTTTCCCTAACAAAATTTTTAAATATCTAATTCACTCCCCCTCTTGTTTAGCCTTGGGCTAGTTCTTAAAGGTTTAATAACCTTCATGAACTTTCAAGTAGTATCAAAGTAGAATTAAAAAATTAAGTTTTAAATAGCTTTTGAAAAACAATCAATGACTAACTTTAGAAATCGTAATACTGCGAAAGGATATTCAATCACACGATCACCTTTATTTGATAATATTTCTTTTTCTTTTTGAAAAATTAATGTTTACCTTTTTGCAATATATAGATTATCGCACGTGGAAGTTAGTTTATGAAGGATATTATGCACCTTCACGTTTTATAAATAGCGTGAAAATTGAAATACATTTTTCTGAATGGAGTGCAGATAATCGAGATTTAACCGAACTTAATGCTAAATGCGTGTATCTACTTGTACTATTAGTAAAGAAATTTAGGACATGCTATGCATTACTTACAAAGTAACAAGTGAAATGAAACAATTTAGGTTAAATTTTCTGCTCCATGATTATGAACTCCTTCGCATAAAACCTAGAGAATCCACATTTGAAATATACAGTAGGTTTACATAAATCATCACATCCCTACATGCTTTAAATAAAGAATTATCAAATTCTGAAAAAATCAATAAAATCTTATGATTTCTACCTATTTCATATATGTTCTTTGGAAGTTTGATTTCCCTCTACACTTTGAAGCATGATATTTTTTATAGGTATTTTTTTCATTTGGGTTTTAATTTTTCTCAAATCCTAACCCATTTTTCACGGACAAGGTTAATACAATTTTTTATTTTTATTTTTTTACTTGCGGTACAAATCTCTGCTCATTCTCTTTGGATTGAACAGAATAGTTGATTTTTTAGCATCGCATCACAAATATGACTATTTGATCACCTTTTCTTACTTTCCTCCACAACTGCTATTACCGTGAGGCTGCATTGGTTGCTCCAAGGAGACCTGACTGTTCTGAGTTCTGAAGATGGGCCATACACTCTTCCTTTTTATTGCTGCCAATTTTTCTCTTTGTTTTTGGGCAATGGTGAGAACAGTTCATGCTATGAGCTCAACAGGTTGACTTCCTCATGTGCCTTCTCGAGGCAGTTTAGAGAATTTTTAAAATCTGTGTCGAATTCTTTTTTATCTACATCAGGATGAAGCCTATAAGCATTTCAAACTCCCTTTCTAAGCATAAATGTTTCCAGCAGTCAACCATTGGCACTCAAAATTACATAGAAAACAAACAACAGTGAAAACCTTGTGAAATTATGAACTAATATTTTCAGTCCATGTGAAATTATGAACTAAGAGAGAGCGAAGAGGGAGGAACAACGGAAACTGACTTCTTAGAAGCACTATCAAATTACTAAAACGAAAGGTAAAATGTAAATACTTAAAAACGTTGCTGGATATAATCCCAAAGAACATAACACAAAATGACGAAAAAGAAGAATGAATTCTAGCAAATCCTTAACATTTTGATTAAAAGCCTGCTGCTGCTAACTTGAGATTTTGATCCTTTTGTTTACTTCTTCAAATCAAACTCCAGGCATTCAAAAAGTCTAATTCTGCTTGCTATAGTTTTTGGCATGCCACTTCTCTATAGAAGAGAACCAGTTCCACTGGAAACATAAAGCTACAAATCTCATGAAGCTTGCAAAAGAAATCTCCAGGAATGCTGCCATGAATGAACTCTGAGGTGACAAACCAGCAGTGACAATAGAAAGCATGGTTCCCTCAAAGTTGCAAGGAATGCTAAATCTTCCCGCTTTGATGCCATTCAAAGATATTTTGGCAACATCATCTGCCTTCATTCCACCAGACGATGCAGCAATTATTTTGCTTATCTCAGGTCTTCTCCGAAGCTCTGAAACAACCATGAAAAAAAAAAAAAAAATTGTTTCAACTAAATCCAAAATTGAAGACAACACAAGATAATATTGCCAAATCAAACAATGATGTTTAACATATTAAATTTGTTCCCTATGATAATCTTTGCTAACTAAACTATTCAGATGAAAGCCATGCATAAACAGGACTAAATATTTCTCATAAAACTAGACTCGGAAGCAAATTCTTAAAGTAGCAACCAAGCTCTATATTTTTATAAAGAACCCAAACACTTCGTGTTTGCTTGATTTTCAAATATTATGTGCACCCATAAAATGCTATATATTTAGATGAGGAAATCAAACGCAATTTTCGCAGAACTGTAAATTTCAGTGATTTCAACAATTTTAATTGCGCTGCCATAGATACCATTTGCTTGAATATTATCAAATTAATGAAAATTAATAATTAAACAATGAGTACTTAAAATAAAGAGGTTAAGAGGATCATCAAACTTTATATAAATTTTAAAAACAAATAATATAATACTAATTCTTAATCAAAGACACTTGTTAAGTTCGTCCCTTGAGATTCAAAAAAATCATAAACATAATTTACATAGATAATAATTTATAGTTTGAGCCCTCAATTTTTTTGTCTCAATCTCATAAGATTAACTCAATGAGTACAAAATCTAAAAATTACTACTGTCTTTTTTGGACCTTTTTTTACAGCTTTATTAAATGATTCAAGATACTGAAAAAAAAAGGTTGGTAAGCGATCTTAGAGTTGATGGGACTCGACTCTCGAGCATACACGTGCATGGTATGGTTTCCCGGCCTAGAGAAAACCAACCTGGTAGGTTTTGAGGACTATTTGATAGTATTAGTGCAGTTTTAGTTGTAACTCTACCAAAACTCTAGTATTTCGACCGGAACTATCTAGAAAATTAGTCAGCTTTGCCTAGTTTAATAATAAACTGGCAAAAACCCACTGAATTAGACATCCAACAAGGTGATAATTTTGCTTGTTATCACAGCAGCCATTGGAACTAACTTAACAGCTTGGCCTTCTGGCCCTCCCCACAATAACCTGTGGATAAGTTAGAACCCTTCATGAGCATAAAACTGCAAAGAAAAGCAACAGAAGCGGCCTATTCAACGCCTAAGTGTTCTAAGTTCAAAAATAGGGACTTTAATGCAACACCAATTCCAAAGGTCATCCTTCAATCGTTGATGTCCCTGAGATTAAGCCAAGTTTAAGGTTGTAAATAATGAAGATGAACCAAGTATACACAAGCAAAAATCAGTCATAGGTTACTAAATAACAGGTTAACCATCTCTGACATCTCCTTTATCAAGAAATGATGCCTCAATATAAAGTATAGAAAATATATTCAGACTTGAAACCCTTCACATTAAAAACTTGGGCTTATATAATCCAGTAAAAAAGAAGACCTCCATGAAGTATTTTTCAAAACTGTGAAAAATATTAATATTCAATAACAAAATTCTTTTAGTAATAGTCAAATCTTCCAACATGACTTGATATGAATTCCGATGAAATAAATATCTTCAAGTTAAACTAGCATATAAATCCAGCAAAAATATTGGTTAACAAAAATTAAAGCAAACTAGGTTAAAAAAAATGCAATGATCATAAAAAGGCGGAAACTCATAAAAAATGCAACCATCCAATTATAGAAGCTTTCACATATCTATAGTAATGATTAATTACATATATATCATTAAAAAAAGCCCATGTAGCACGAAATATTTTAAAAGATGTCGATAAATGGAGAATGAGAGTGTTGATTCCTATTTTTAAGAATAACATGTAATGCACAAGATAGTGCGAATTATAGAGGAATTAAGTTAATGTGTCATACTTTAAAACTATGGGAGAGACTTATTGCGCATAGGTTACCGTGTGATATTAACATTTATCAAAATCAATTTGGATTCATGCCGGGTAGGTCTACTATGGAGCTATACATTTATTGAGAGGTTTGATGGAGAAGCATAGAGAGAATAAGGAGGATCTACATATGATATTTATTGATTTATAGAAAGCATATGATAAAGTTCCAAGAGAAGTGTTATGGAGAGTTCTAGAAAAGAAAGGGTTTAATAATGCTTATATTATAGTCATTAAGGATATGTATGTAAGAGCTGTTACTTGTGTTTAGACACAAGGTGGTTTGACTAAGTATTTTTTAATTTCAATTCAATTACATCAAGGATCAGCTTTAAGCCCCTATCTTTTTGCTTTAGTCATGGATGTTCTCACTAGACATTTGCAAGAGGTTGTACCCTGATGTATGTTTTTGGCTAATGATATTTTTCTTGTTGATAAGACTAGAGTTAAACTTGAATTATGGAGGTCAACCTTAGAGTCGAAAGGCTTTCGTTTGAATAGATTTAAAACTGAATATATGTAGTGTAATTTTAGTAATAATAGATCTAGTCATTAATTTGGATCTATTATGGAGGCCAAATTAACAATAGATTGTGACTTTGGGCGATCAAGTCATTAATAAGAGCACTCGTTTTAGATATCTTGGATCTATTGTTCAGAGTGATGGTGATATACATGGGGATCGTATTAGTAGAAGTCAAGTTGGATGGTTGAAGTGGAGGACTGCATCGGGCTTGTTGTGTGATAGAAAAGGCCCTCTCAAACTTAAGCGAAAATTCTAAAAGATGGTTGTGAGACCTGCAATGCTTTATGGTGTAAAATATTAGCCATTAAAAGAGAAGCATAATATTAAGTTAAGTGTTACAAGGATGAGGATGCTCAGGTGGATGAGTGACTTTACTCTTAAAGGTAGGATACAAAATGAGCATATACGTGAAAAGGTTGGAGTAGCTCCAATGGAAGATAAGATTAGATAGAGTCGCCTTAGATAGTTTGGTCACATAAAACGACGGCCTTCCGATGATCCGGTTTTGAAAGCAGATGTATTAGATTTGATTTATATTAAGAGGTAGATCTAAAAAGGCTTGGTTAGAAAATATTAGAAATAATCTTTCTTTTTTATATTTAGATGAGAATTTGACTCTTAACATAACACAATGTAGAAAATGGATTCATGTAGCTGACCCCACATTATTGTTGTAGTAACACCAGAACATATTAAACCTTTCAGAACTAACACTGGTTAACAATCATTAAAGATGCTTAGAAAATCTCCCAAACTTCAGTAAAAGTTTTAACCTAATTTATAAAAAGCCATTCAACAAATCCAAGTAGCAGGAGACGGTAAGAGTATAGGCCAGCAGGCCTCACTAATATAAGGACATCCTTTGGTAGTAGCAGCTGCTCACTAGAACCACGTAGCAGGAGGCAATTGTGTCCATGATGATTTCCGAGCTTAATAAGTACGATATTTCAATTGATTTGTGCATGATATGATTCTTAGTTATCAATTAGAAGCTGACAGTACAAGAAATTAAGGAATATTACACAGATCTCCGCAGAATTGCTAAGTATAATTTTTATAGGATTTTCAATATAGTCAAGTAACTCATAGAAAAATGAACCCTTACCATGCTCAGCTTAAAGGAAAAATCAAATAAAATAGCGATAGAAGATAGTCAGGATAGCTTTTCTGCTGCAAACCTTCAGAAAAACCCGGGGTGTCGGTGTCTGAAGGAAATATCAAAGAAACAAAAATGTTATCTGCAATGACCTCATGCTGCAATGCCTCTGACAATCCTCGAAGTGCAAATTTGCTTGCTGAGTATGCCGTGTAACCATAGACGCCCACCTAGGTACATAAGATACAATTAGAAAAACACCAACAACGTCCTAAAATAGCACCCAGTATAACTACTTCCTGAATAAACTATGCCACTCATAGGCATATATCGACATGGTAAATCATAAGATACTGGTGATCATATAATCCGGCGGGCGGGTATTTTCCTCAATTTTCGAAAAGGAAAGGCCGCAGGGATTGAAAAGAAAGCCATCGGATAACAATCTCGCTGAGCAAATATAGAAGAGGTGAGAAAAAAAAAAAAAGAAAAAGAAACGCCCTTGAAACCTTAAAAACGGCGATAAGTCACCAGCATCAAAGAGAGAGAACAGTCAAAACCTGGCCAGCTTGTGCGGACATGATCGCGATAGAGGAAGGAAGGCCAGTCTCTCTCGTCTTCCGCTTCATGTTTGGGAGAGCAGCCTTAATGAGGTGGAACGTGCCCATCAAATTCACATCCACGATAAACTTAATCTCATCCATCTCCTGCTTCTCAAGCTCTTGCGGCGTAAACACGCCCTGATTACATATCAACACGTCGATTGGCCCCGCCACCTCGATCGCACGAGCCACCGCTTCGGCATCTCGCACATCGACACTGTAAACGCCAACCTCCACGCCAGTGGCGAGGCGGATGGAATCTCGAGCCTCGTCTAGGCGCTGGCGGTTACGAGCGAGGATGGAGACCCGTGCGCCTTCGGCGGCTGCGAGGCGGGCAATGGCGAAGCCTATGCCACTTGATCCGCCGGTAATGAAGACATGTCGACCTTTGATGGGAATGCGGGTGGGGCGGGGGCGAGTGATTAGGGCGAGAAAGATGAGGAGGGCGGAAACAGGGACGATGATGATGAGGAGGAGGGGAGAAAAAAGAGAGGAAGACATGGATGTCAAGGATGTGGGGAATTTGTGTATCCTGTGGAGATGGGACGCATTGCTCGGATAAGAGGAGATATTAAAATGATGGAAAGTCGCCGGTAAGGACACGGCCGGCTGTTGGAATGGACTGGGCGGCTGCTTTATTCATTAAAAAGTTTCGTTGATAAAACGGGCATCTTATAGATAACACGTGCGTGTGGAGAGAGAGAGGGGGTGGAGAGAGAGAGGAGTGAGAAAAAAGTTCTTTCATTTATTATGAAAAATAATTATATAAGATAAAATTATAACTCAACAGAAATTTAAAATGGAACCTTTTTTTTTTTTTTTTTTGAAGAAAATGCCAAATGTATTAAAATAAAAGAAGAAAAGGAAACAAACAAGCCTAAATACAAGCTACTAGGTGATAGCACATATATCACCGTCCTCCATCGAAATAGACATAAAACATGGAGGAACATTTTTTTTTTTGGCAAAATTGAGGGCAGAGCCTAAATTTCATTAAGTAAAAGAACTAGTTACATGTGTAAAAAAGGTTCAGAATAAAAAGTAAGAAAAACCAGCAGGATTGGCTTAAAATCAGTCACAAAAATTGGTACAAAAATACACATGCCCAAAAAATTATCATATTCAGAATAGTGATCAAACAACTGGAAACGAAGCCAGAATCGTAACTTTAACCCACTGAAAAACTGATGAAGAGATGAAGTAGTAAAACAGACGGGCTCAGCATAATAAATAGAGAACATCCTCCATCTACACAATCCCTCGGTTGCCATAATTGCCATCAAATAAAAATTCGTTGTAAAAAATTGCCATCCTGGGGGGGAGGATGTTCCCTGAACATCATCTCCCCCAAAATCAAAAATAGACTCCCAGCAGATAAGAAAGGCCGAACGAGGATGTCTAAGGGACCAAGCATCAACATAGCAAAAAAACTTATAGCATAGCTTTGAGTTCATCACCATTTTTCCATCTTTGAAGTTTAAGCATAACAACCTTCTTAATCAAAATTTGAATGGTCTTAGAGCTTTTAGCAACATTCATAAATTTTCTTTCATTTTTTTCCCTCCATATATAGTAGACAGAGGCCCATAAAACCAGTAGAAAAAACTGCCGCCTGTCAGTACTTAGGCAGGGCCAACCAGAGAAAAAATCCAAAGCCTGGTAAAGATTCGGTCTAGTAAGGAAGGAGGCAAGAGGAGAAATCAGAGAAGAGATGATATTAAAAGTGTAATCACACTCAAAGAAGAGATGTGACACACTTTCATCACTGGTTAGGCAAAAAATGCATCTTTTATCCACCATAATGTTTCTTTTTTCCAATTCATCCACAAATTTTAGCCCTCCAACAAAACAAAACCAGGCATACACCGAATATCTCAGCGCATAATGTTTATGCATGCCACACAGAAAGAACTGCACCAATCAACCTCATTCTCATCAGAATAGTAATCAACAATGAATTTTTTGAAAACAGTCTTAACCTCAGATCCCCAAAGTAAACAGCTGGGCACATCAGAATAAATGGGTATAGAAGTAATGAGATTGTGTATGGTATCAGGACATGCAGAAGGAATATCCCAACCATCAGAAACATATAATCTGGATAGAGGTGCATTATCAGGATATAAACTAGTTAAAAATTGATGTTGCTGAAGCTCTTGGATGCAACGACCCCTACACCAGTGGTCCCATTTAAGATTAATGAGAGAGTGAGTGGTAACTCTAAAATTCAAATTATGCTTGGCAATACCAGCAGAAGAATGTATACTTTTCCACATAGAAGAAGAAGAAGTAGAAGGTTTTTTCCACGGAGAGCAGTAGTAGGATAAGACCAAAGATTAAAGGGGGGAAGTAGAATTGTAAATTCTGAGAATAAGTGAACAGTCAAAAGCATATCTGATAGATTAACGAGAGGGCAAACCCAAACCTCCCTTATTTCTAGGTTTAGAAGTGTTAACCCAGGAAACCAAATGTAATTTTCTAGCCGAAACATCACCAAAATAAAGGAATTTTGCTAAGAGTTTAGCAATCTGTTTAATTGCCTAAGAGGTGATCCAAAAAAAATCACCATGTAAAGTTAAGTTGACACAATAATGTGCCAACTTATTACAATTTCTATAACAAAAATTAAAAATGAATGAACCAAAATCTTTAAGGAAAGATAAGTCTTCAAGTTCATTTTCTAAAAAGGTCGCATAAACCCTTTTCATCGAAAATTGAAGATACTTGATAATATTAGCATTATCTCCCTCTATTATCATTCCTTTAGCTTCCATCATCCAATCTTTAATTGCCACTTTCAAATGTTGAAAAGCCACCAACTCCAAAGCTCCTATATCCCAATGATTACAGCTCACACCAAATGCTGCTAGAAACCTCCCTTTATGGTCTCTAAAAACTCTACCAATACCTGCCTTATTAGACTGTAACAGAGCAGCATCAAAGTTGAATTTAATCCATTCGGGAGGTGGAGAGTGCCAATAAGAAGAATTCAGACGAAGCTGGTTAGTACCCCAAAATTCTGAATTTAGATTAAATTTTAAAGCATTGGATGCTATATGATAGCATTGGAAGCAATGAAACTTACGCTGTATTCTTCATCTCCATGCTTGACCCGATTTCTGCTTTTCCAAGTAAAAAACACCATAGAACAAAATAGATTACCAATGAAAATAGTTCTTTCAGACAAAACCATCATTTTAGAAAAATAATGTACTAACGAATTAGCCATTGGAATTTTGAACCCCCACTCCTCCAGTTTGGTTGTAACCAAGATAATCATAGAGCAATTACCTACCACATGATTATTTTTTTCAATATCAAAACAGCCCCTAGGACAAGAGTTGTTATTTATCATTCTTCTATAAAATAAAAAATCATTTGTAGGTAATGCATTGTTGAGAAAACGCCACCAGAAGCATTCAACCTGTGGAGATAGCTTGAACTTTTTGAAACAATTGATGTATTCCTTCTCTTTATGAATTATATTGTTCTTAGCCAGCATTGTCGAGATAGTGTACCCAAAAAATTTTGACATGAGTTCTAATTGATTATTACAGTTTTTATGAATTTGTATTAGAGAAATGTTTTCAAGCAATTCCCTTCCAAACCATCTTGTTAGCATTGTGAAATTCCAACTTCAATCATATATAAATTTCTGTAAGTTTGGAAATTCTTCATAAATTACTGCCAATAAGTTGGCCACTTTTCAAGACATTTGTTTAAGATCCAAACATCTTTCATGATGTCGATTGAAGCACCATAACTAATCTTCCATCTCACCAAAGATTTAAGAGCTTTCATGCCATTTATGAGGATTTTCCAAGCAATAGAACTGTTCTTCTTAATTTTAGCATTCCATAAATCCCCATATTTAGTTCTAATTGTTCTATTCAGTAAGATTCAGGTTTTTTATGAAAGCTCCATGCGAATTTGGCTCTCAGAGAACCGGAAATGGTTGCAGCTGAACTAAGACCTCTTCCACCATCTGAAATTGGTTTACAAAGTTCTTTCCAGGACAGATAGTGCATTGCTAGATTTCCTCCAGACTTATTCCAAATAAAGACTCTACATATTTTGTCAATTTTCCTCAAAATATTCATTGGAACCAATGAATGAGATACAAAAAAAAAAACGGGAATGCCTTGCAACACAGATTTAACCAGCACAATTCTTTATGCTAATGATATGAGTTTATTGCCCCAAACATTGAGCTTGCAAGCAATTTTATCAATGATGTTTAAGAAATCCGAAGTCATCATTCTCCTACAAGCCATTATAATCCCCAAATAGATAATCTCCTTCACTTCTTTAAAATTGAAAATTTTAAGAATTTTCTTTCTGTTTCTCCTTCCCACTATTTTCCTGACAAAACGTGGGATTTGATTCTATTAACAGTTTGTCCTGTCCAAGAACAATAGTTTGAAATAATTCTCCTGATCCTCCTAACATGATCAAATTTGGCTTCCGAGAATAATAAAATATCATCCACATACATCAAGTGACTTATTCTAGGTGCATTTGGAGCCACTTTAATTCTCAAGTTTTTCCGGTTGCAATGAAACTCTTCAGATAATAATTGAGAGCAAAGTAGAAAAATATATGGAGAAAGAGGGCAACATTGACGAAGCGCACTTTTAGCCTCAATCCAATCCGACTTTGTACCATTTACCAAAATAGTAAATTTTGGATCCATAATACATTCCAAAATTAGATTAGCAAATATATTAGGAAAGCCAAAATAATTCAAGACTTGCTTGATAGTCGGCCAAGCCATACTATCATAGGCTTGTTCTATATCAATTTTTATAGTAATCAATCTATTTTTAGCTTTGGACAATTTAAATTTGTTAAACACTTCATGTACCCAGAAGATATTGTCTGACAACGATCTTCCTTTAATGAAAGCCATTTGCTCCTCTGAAACCAATTTGAAGATTACTTTCATGAGCCTATTTAAAAGGATTTTAGCAATCACCTTATAAAAAGACACACATAAACTGATTGGACGGTAGTGAGAAGGAAGAGCTAGATTTTTAATTTTGGGAATTAGAACCACCATAGTCTTCTTCCATTTTTCACTCATCTTCCCGTGAATGAAAAAATATTGGATCACAATCCAAACATTCTGACTGATAACTTTCCAATAATGCTAAAAAAAAATAATAAGTTATCCCATCCATACCTGGGGCAATGTTCGAACCAAGCTCTCTTACTACAACCTCCACTTCCTGGAAAGACAGATCCGTTTCCATGCAATTCGATTCTTCTGAGCTTAATTTGTATAGAGAGTTAGGCCAACCAGATAGATTACAATCCATTTCCCTCCATTTGTTTTTAAAAAACTGCAGCAAAATATTCTCTATTTCAGCTTAAGAATCAACCAATTTACCTTGATTATCCTTAATTTGATGAATAGCATTAGAATTCCTCCTGCCATTAGCCACATCATGAAAGAATTTTGAATTCTTGTCTCCTTCACTCCACCATTTGACTTTAGCTCTTTGCCTCCACTAAGTGTTGATCCTAGCAAGTTTAACGTTGAGCTCATGCACCTTTGCCTGAAGCAACATTAACTTTTCCTCTGTTAGTCCATTGTTAGACTCCTCCAATTGCATATCAGCCACTTCAACCATTAATTTTTCTTT